GGCAAGCGGGGTTACCCAGGCAGTCTCTGTGTCCCCTAGCCCCACTCCCTACACACACCTTCTCCCAAAATAACCTCAGCTCCTCTCACGCACTCATTCAAGCTTTATTGCACATCACTGACATCATCACCTCCTTCTTCAAAATGCCCACCCACTCCTGACCCCCTCCATTTAGGGCCCCCTACCCTCCTGTAACCTGCATTGGCTTCAGTCACTACCTGCTGATTTCTGATTACCAATTCACTTGTCACCCCAGTCCCATCATACCCCCAGTTTCCCTCATGTTCCTAGAACTCAGCGGACCCACAAATGTTTGATGAACGAATGAATGACTAAATAGATGAACTCCAGAAGTAGGCTTTACTGGGTCAGAGGTCATTTTTTTCTCCTATGTTTTGAGTATTTCATGAAAAGGTTAAAAAACAAGCCTGTACATACTACTGCTTCCATGCCCTACCCCTGCTCAAAGCTCAGAATGAGATCCCACTGCTTTGGGACACTCTTCTCACCTCCCCCAGAGGGTGCAGCCCAGTCTCCTCCCAGGTTCCACAGCTCACGCTGCTGCATCTCTGCAGTCCTGTCTGTGTCAGTCAGGCTTGAGGCTGGGCCTGCCCTCCTCTACCTCTGTCTCTTTAGCCGGACTGTGTTGTGAGGGCATGGGCTGGTCTTGATCAGTACTTATATGTTTTCATAGCACAGGTATCCAATACTCATTGACATACCTACAGAAGAGAATAGCTCACCTTTACTGAGTTCCTAGGAGGTACCTGAGTCTGTGTAAACCACCCTTTATGCTTTCTCTTTGCATCCTCACATCAATACAGTGCAATGAGACTATAGCCATCTCCATTTTACAGATGCAGAGACTAAGGCTCAGAGAAGTTAAGCCTGTGGTCACACAACTAATAAGGGAGACCTGGGACTTAGCCTAAGCCCTCTCTAACTCTAGGGCCCACAATTCTAATCATGAACTATATTGAGATGTTGGGGGAAAAAATCACAAGTGGAGGGAGAAGGATGGAGAGAAGCAGCAGGAAGGAGAGCAATGTTGCCATGGTAACCCCACCTGTCCCTTCCTGCATTCCTATCAGTCTTCCATTGATGGCTACCTGTCCCCATGGCCCACATACACCAGTGGCCAGACCATTCTACATAATCGAAAGCCCTGTTCGGATGACTACCGGAGGCGATCAGGGTAAGCCAGGGTCAGCCCAATGGTGGATGGGCTACTACAGACCCCACATGGGGTCCAGAGACAGCACGAGGGTATGTGCTGCCCCAGACTGAGGGTGCAAGGGCCTCCTCGTTGGGTGCCTATCACAACTCAGCCCACCCTCCCCTGCAGTAGCTGGCAGCAGCAGACCCTGGGCACTACTAAGCCAAGGTATCTGGAGCAGCTAGAGAACTACCTACGTAAGGAACTCCTTCTGTTAGACCTGAGCACGGACTCTGCCCAGGAGCTGAAGCTGCAGGTCAGAGCCACAGAATTACTCTAGGTATGGGACGGGGAAGAGTTGGGAGGAAGCCCTGTTCATCAGGACTGAGCACTTCAGACCTTCAGGAGAGACCAGCCTCTCCTAGTTCTTTTGGGTTCCTCTTTCTGGTAAGAGAAACATGTTCTTTGACAAAGCCAGTGAGTAGGAAAGCCTGCCAGTATAGAACCCTTTAAACTCCTGAGGCTTGAGTTTCCTCACCTGAGTCAGGTAGACTGGATGTGTCTCTAATCTCTTCAGCTCTGTGATCCCCAGTGCCCAGCTTTGGTCATTGGATATTAGGGAATAGAGCCTGGATCCTGGCAGTTGGGCAAGCAGGGGTCCTACAGTGTTCACCAGCCCAGTGACAACAGCCCAAAGCTTCAGGAACTTAGCCCACACACACAAAGAGAGAAATCTAGATGCAACCTGGATTCTGGTACATATAAGGGAGAGAATCACCAAATCCCTACTCAAACAGGGAAAATGATGGGGAATCCCTCACTTCTGACTTAGTCACTGACAAAAGCATTTGCTAGGCCCTGAACGAGGCCTTATATATATGCCCTCACAAGCTGAAAGTACCTCACCAACAAGGAAGTAGAAACTTGGAGAAGGGATTCAGGTATGAAGCAGTGGAGCTAGGATTCAAACTCAGGCCTGTTCAGGAGCCTGTGCTCATTCCAGTACATGATGCCGCCTCCCAAACCTTCCTGTGTGTCCAAGTGAGACAGGAAACCACACTTCTGCTTGGAGGTCAGAATGCAAGGCTAGAACCTTCCATCTCCTCCTGCTCCCACAGGGCTTTAAAATGGGAGTGGGTGGGTGCTGGTGGGAGGCCAACTGAGGCACAGTGCATGGAGGAGGCTAGTGGCCTGGAGAGCCAGAGAAGGGGCTCAGGTAGTGTCCTAGAGAGCCAGAGAGGTTGTCTGCCAAGCCTCAGAGACAGCACCAGGAAAGGCCTCTGGAGAGACAGAGCTACCCCCTCAGTTTCCTGGTGTTGAGAGATCCAGGTGGTGCCTGGGGCATTTATTTGAATGTGGGTCACCAGGCAGCTTCATGCTAGAATACTTCTAAGCCAAGCAAAGAAAAACTCAGGTCCCACTGAGGGTGGCAGCTATAGGCCAGGAGGTGACAGGTTCCCTTTTCCTGCCAGCCTTACAGAGAGATCTTTGAGTTCTTCATAGAGGACTTCAAAACGTACAAGCCATTGCTATCTTCTATCAAGAATGCGTATGAGGTGATGCTGGGTAAGACTGCAGGCTCCCTGCCTGAGCCCAGGTTGGAAGGTGTGGAGAGGGTCCTACCTTGACCTTCTGGGGCTCTGCAGTAGGGCTGGGGCAGCTACTAACTGAGCCTTGAGGTCACCAAGCTCTGCTAAGCTTTTTTGCTTACACTGTCCTGTGATAGAGCACCTGAGGGGACCTCACCACCTCCTGTCCTTGGGAAGCATGGTGGGGCAGTATCTATAGGAAATAGAGTACTTTTCTGTTGAGGCTGAGCCCAGAGGGAGTGAGTACCTCTGGGAAGTGAGACAGCTCCCTGCAACCAGGCTCAGGAGGTATCAGGCATGGTGCAGCTGTAAGACAAAGATTGTAGGAGAAAAGGTCATTGGCGAGACCCCAGTCCTCATCTAGACTCTGCCCCCAGCATATGTCATCAGTTTGGTTCAAATAAACTTTAAAAAAAAAATCAAGTGTAGAAAGGCCTTAAGCAGAGGCTGTGCTTTGAATGAGGCATTAATAGACTCCTAGAGTTTGCAAGACTCATAGCCACTCACTGTGACCCTAGCATCAGTCTCCTGGCTGTTCCCCATGGCCCCAAAGGGACTCTCGCACCTGTCCCTGCTTAGCCCACCAGAGGGAGAAGATTCGGGCTCTGGAGCCCCTGAAGGCCAAGCTTGTCACTGTGAATGAAGACTGCAATGAGAGGATCCTAGCCATGAGGGCTGAGGAGAGATCTGAAATCTCCATGCTGAAGAAAGAGAAGATGAATTTGCTAAAAATCATTGACAAGAAGAATGAGGAGAAGATCTCATTGCAGAGCGAGGTAAATGGAAATAATACGGTGACCAGCTCCCTAAATCCCTGCTACCCCCACCCCAAGGGTGACCTGAGGCCTTGTGTACTGAGGTGACCTCCTAACTCCCTCCACCCTTCTACCTGGAATGACAGACTGAGCCGCCACCTCCCCAGAGCCCCTGCTACCTCCATGTTCTGCCCTCCTCCTTGGCTCAGCACTAGTTCCATGTAGCCCCAAATGCTAGGAGAGTCCTGCTCCTTGACCGCCAGACCTCCACCACAGGAAGCGCTGGCACTCTGCTGGATTCTCAGGAATGGCCAGTCTCCTTCTTCCTCTACCTTTCTTGTTCCTAGGCCCTGATGAGGCCACACAGCACACATCCCATCCCCTGTGGGGACTAGCTACATACAGGGATCCAAAGACAGCCCAAGACCATGCAGCCACCTTCCCAACAGGTGACCAAACTAAGGAAGACCTTGGCTGAGGAGTACCTACGCTACCTCAGTGAGCGAGATGCCCGCAAGATCCTCATCGCGGACCTGAATGAGCTACGGTACCAGCGGGAAGACATGTCACTAGCCCAGTCCCCAGGTAAGCCCAAGGGAGGTTTCTTGCTGATGAGGTGCTGGAGAGGAGTCTGGCTCCCACCACCCAACCCCATTCATTCAGCTCTCCTAATATCTGCTCATTAAGTGCCCATTCATGATGGGAGATGTCCCTGCTGCCACCTGGGTCTGTGGCCCTTCTGAGCTGGACTGAGAATCGTAGACTCGTCGTCTAAGTAGGAACAATTGCTGGCAGCTGAGACAGCCTAGACTCCCTAAGGGGGCAGGACAAGCCTGGTACTCCTTGTCTTGGGCTTCTCTATTTAAGCCCTCAGCCCTAGGCTGGTAGCACTGTGGGAAAGACCAGGGGGTTCCCAAGGAGGGAGAGCAGGACTTGAGACATGCCCCAAGGGACCCTCTAACCCTGCCCTGGGCTACAGGCACCAGAGTCAGGTGACACAAGTTGCTGGGACCCCTGGCAGGCATCTGGGGGGAAGACCCTGTGAAGTTAACGGTGGCTCTGAAGATGGCCCGGCAAGACCTGGCCCGCACGCAGATGGAACTCAACACCATGAAGGCCAACTTTGGCGACGTGGTGCCCAGGAGGGACTTTGAAATGCAAGAGAAGACCAACAAGGATTTGCAGGAGCAGGTGCTGGTGGGCAAGCAGGCCAGGCAGGGTAGGGCAGGGTCGTGCAGGTGGGTAGCAAGGACCAATCACTTTGCCCACAGCTGGACAGCCTGAGAGACGACTACAAAGAAGTCTGTAAGGAGCATGAGATGCTGCTGCAGTTGCACATGAGCACGCTGAAGGAGCGGGACCAGTATCATTCTGAGTTACAGGAGATCCAGCGCACCTCCACACCACGGCCTGACTGGGCCAAGTGTGAAGGTAATGATGGCTATTGGGGCTCCAGGGACTGCTCAAGTGTGTGGTTCTGACTCCAGCTCCCACTCTCCACTTGCAGATGTGGTGGCTGGGGGCCCAGATCGCTGGCACATGCTGGCTGAGGGCAAGAACAGCGACCAGCTGGTGGATGTGCTCCTGGAGGAGATTGGTGTGGGCCTGCTACAGGAGAAAGACTTCTTCCCTGGTCTGGTAGGGGAGTTTGTAGGCTTGGGAGGGTTGGGGCCAGAGTCAAAAGGGCCTAGCCTTGCTGCTGAGACTTGAGGTTCTTGAGGAACCACCGGGGGCTCTGCCCTTCTTGAGAGTGGGGCCACAGATAAGCCCAGTGATGAGCCGACACTTTCCCTTCCAGGGCTATGAAGAATCCATCCCCCCTTTCCTTCGGTTTGAAGGTGTTGTGGAGAACAAGAAGCCAACCAAGAAGGATGTCATAAACCTCCTTAAGGATGCCTGGAAAGAACGTCTCGCTGAGGAGCAGGTCAGATCTCAGCAGCCATTTTGGCCTCCAGAATCCTCCGGGAGGTTCCCTCAATGTGCTAGGGAGCAAGGAGGAGGGCCAACCAACCATGGAGCAGCTGACCAAGTAGTCTTCCCCTATCCTACAGAAAGAGAAGTTCCAAGATTTCTTTCTCAATTTCCTGGAGCGTCGTTTTGGGCCTGCTGATGCCATGGCCTGGGCTTACACCATTTTTGAAAATATTAAGCTCTTCCGCTCCAATGAGGTCATGAGTCAGTTCTATGCAGTCTTGATGGGAAAGGTGAGCTTGGGTCTGGCCCTCTACCCTTTGTCCCCAGCATAGACCAGCTCTGTCCCTACCACTCCAAGAAGTAGCAAGGTAGTCAGTACTTCCCTCTCTGCAGTGGAACGAAAGTGTGTACATCAAGCAGAAGGAAACAGTAACACAGCTGCTGAAGGAGATGACAAATGTTGACAGTCAGAACGAGGGGCTGCTAACCATGGAGCAGTTAAGGTGAGAGGCCAGCCAGGCCACCTCAAACTCCTCTCCAACACTTCTTCTGGCCAGGCTCCCAGGTGTGCTGGGGAAAGGGGAGCCTGGTGGGAAAGGCCACAGCCTCAATGCTGGCTGCCTTTTTGAGCACTAGTGGGGCCAGCAAAGGGGTGCAGGAAGATGGGTGGGCAGGTCTCAGCCAGGCCTCTGTTGGCCCTTGTGTCTCCCCACAGCACTGTCCTCAAGAGCACCTTTCCCTTTAAGAAGGAAGAGAAAATTCAAGAGCTAATGGAGGCAGGGGGCTGGCATCCGAGCAGCAGCAATGCAGACTTGCTCAACTACCGCTCATTGTTTGCGGAGGTGTGTCAGGGGTCCAGGAACTTTCCCAGCCCTGCTCTAGCCTCGTCAGACCCTAGCCCATGTGCACTTACCCTATCTTATGGCCTGTCTCAGGATGAAGAGGGCCAAAGTAGGCCTTTTGTGCAACAGCTATGGGAACAGTACTTGGAAGAAAAGGATGATTACTTACAGGAACTAAAGCAGGAGCTGGGCCTTGAACTGTGAGTGACCCTGGGGCCCTCAGGTCCACTTAGCCATAGGCAAGTCCCACAGGTTGGGCCACAGGGTAGCATTTCAAGCCCCTGGGTCTCCCTGCGTATTGAGCTTGCTGCTGGGCACTATATATTGCTCAAGCCTGGCAGAAGGCATCTTGGGGTCTGGGGTGGGGGGCAGTCAAGGCCTATCTCTCTCTTTTCTTTTGGGGCAGCCGTGAAAAGGTGACCCTACCCAAGGTACGTGAGGCCCTGATGACCATAGATCCCAAACTGGACAAGCAGACCCTGAACAGCTATTTGAGCCAGGCCTTCCAGCTCCCTGTGACAGAACTGCCAGAGGAGGCTGAGGAAAAGACAGAGGACATTGTGATACAGCTCCAGACTGCCCTGGAACGGCTTCAGATGGCCGACATCAGGCGCATGGGGCCTCGAGAGCAGGAGCCTGTAAGCTAGAGCCACTGTGGGCAGCAAACCCTTGATTTTTAGTATAAAATTGTTTGTCTGAGTCCATGCTATTCTCCTGATTATGCAAAGGAGGGGGCTAGTCCCTGCCTGGCTGGCCCCAGGACATGTACCGAAACACAACATATTCTGTTTGTGACACTTTATTGATGATGGGGGTGGGGAGGAGAACTGGAAGAATATGTGGTGCCAAGGGGCCCCTGGTGAGGTCAAGGCAGTTGTCAAGGGCTGACCACTACTGAGCAGGGAAGACAGAGTTGCCACTGAACGCACAAGGGATTAGCAGCTGCCGGTACTCCAGGGGCAGGTGCCGCTCCACAAGCACGTGCAGGGAGACTTGGTCAGTGACCAGGCCCTGCCTGCAGAAGATGATAGAGATACAGAATCAGCACCAGCATTCCCACACCCATAATCTCCCTACTTCCACCCACTGACCGTCGCATCAGCAGCTCCAGGTCCTCTAGCTTCACAGTCTTGCGGCCAGCATGAGCAGCAAATACCTCCAGGTCATCACACAGATGTTGGAAATATTTATCCAGGCTGCCAAGAAGATTGGAGTAGAATAGACTGAACAAAGTGTTCATCATCTGAGAGGCTCCTCTCCCTGAGGATCCAGGACTCACCACTTCTCCACCATCTCAACAGCCTTCTTCTCCATGGACATCTTAGCATAGAAGCTGAAGAGCTTAGCATAGTGGCTCAGTCCAGTCTTATAGGGATCTTGACGGATTCTGGGGCCAGCAGTTCGGGCCCTGGGAGGAAGCCTAGCTGATAGAGGCTCCAGAGGCTCTGAAGATAAACTAGGGGCAGGAAAGGACAGAGTTAGCTGAATTGCTACCTGAGAAGTCCTCTAATCACAGATAAGTCTTGCTAGCTCCTGTCAGGACTGGGGCCCTTGTGCTCCTTGGCCAGCCTGGACCAACAGCTCTAATCATCTGCTGGGCTCAGTGGGGACAAGGGGTCATGTAGAGGCCTGGTCTTTCCCTGGGACCTTTATCCTCCACAGTCTGGACCAAATGTCCCAGTCTAGCCTCACCATACAAACTGGTTTTTGCTCAGGCCCATGACCCTCAGACCTCAGCATGGACATTCCCTCCCCTCAGCCTATTGTGACTGTCCCTGCCCCTACCCAGGTTCTTCTAAGCCCCCAGAATCAGGTACCAGAATGACAGATATGCTCTTAGTGAGCCACACCCAGAACACCTAAGGATGCTCTGCTAGATAATGATCTGCATACCTGTCGGAAGAGGGATAATCTTGTGGGGCCCAATGCCAACCTGTGGTGCCTGCCCCCTGCCCAAAAGGCCCATGTGGAATAGGGTTATGGGACCTTACATTGCAGTGCTTGTGGGTCGAGCTGGCTCAAGAAAATGAAGTTGCCTGGCCTGAGGAAACTCTGGCGTGCTGCAGGCCAACTCTGGACTTGCTGCAGAGAAATGGGAGGGTTAAGGGGACTCAGGCCTAACCATCTCGCACAATCCTGCAGGCCTATAGCTTCCCTGTCCCGTTCATCGAGGGCCCCATTTAGCTCCAGCCAGCCAAGCAAGGGGCCCCTCTGAGTCTCCCTGGCCCAACGCTACCTGTGCTCAGCAACAAAACCCAACCATGTAAGGCCCTCCTCCAAGGCCAAGGACTGAACATAGCCATCACTTACCCATTCTCCCCCCCCCATCCCTGCACTGGGCCCCTTACCTGCTCTACCAGAGGTGTCCTTATCCCCTGAAGATCTTTTTGGTTCCTTGGCCTCAATAGTCCCCTGGGATCCCTCTGATTTCATCACTTCTGTGTGTCTCTCAGGCTCTTCTGCTCTGAGAGATCCTTGTGCCACTGCTGCCTCCTTCACTTCGCTCATGCTCAAGCATTCTTCCATCATTTCCTCTACCTCCTCACCAACTCCATCGTGTAAGGGCTCTAGTCCATCTTCTCCAGAGATATTATTGCTAGTGTTTAGGAAACCCATACCAAGAGCATCAACCTCCTTTGCCTTTCCTGCCAGAAGCTGGGCTGGTTTCCCAGGACCTGGATCAAGGGGAGAATAAAGGCTAGAAAAGCAGTAGGTCAAGGCTGTAGCTCTGAGATTGGGTAAAGATGGAGTAGTAAAACCCAACGTAGCCCATTAAGAGGCCAGAGGCAGCCCCAGTGTACTGGTTTGGAGTCTCTTGGTCCAACACTGACTCTGTTCTTGGATGGAGGAAGGACCAACAGCCAGGGTGCTCTGGGGAAACACATAAGGACTTGCCAACTCTCGCCTAAACTTAGCTTGGCTCCAGACCACCTTCCCTACATACTCACTGTTGTTCTGTAGCCCAGGCCTACTGCGATGTGTCCTCCAACTGACAGCCCTCTCAGCAGAGAAAGAGGGGCAGGTCAGGGAGTGGTGCACACTGGGGGAATGGCCAATCAAAGGCTGGGAGAAAGGCTGGGTGTCCTCCAATGCAGTGTTCGTTGGTAGGGTAGCAACAGGGGTTCTGAGGCTATCACCTGGAGATCAAGAACCAGATGGCACTCAGTGTATTCCAGGCCTACTTGCTGCTACCCAGTCACTAGGGCCTGGCTAGGGGGTCCCATGAGTCTGCCCGAAGTGGCTTTCAGAGAGAGAAGGCTACCTTATCTCCCTTCCATAGCTCTCTGTGCTCACCTTCCTGTTCCTTAGCCTGCCATTCCTAGGCTCCACAGCTTACCCCACCCAAAATGCTCATCATGCCTCTACTCTCTATGTCTCACTCTGTTTCCTCTACCTGGAACCCTTCTCTTACCTTAGTGAACTTAACTTGTCTTCCTGAATCAGGTTCCCAGGTCAGCTCTGACTGGCTAGCTATTTCTGAAACTTGGCCCCTTTCAACTCCCAACAAGCTCTAGCCACCCTTTCCTAACCTCAGCTTATAGCTCCTCAAGGATATGAGGTCTTGGAAGAGACCCTGAGGGACTGTCCTACCAAGACAAGAGCACCTTATGGAAAGAAAGCAGAAACTCCTTATAGACCTACTGGCCAGGCTTGCTCACTGTCCTTGACCCAATGTAGAGGGGAGCAACACTGGACTCACACAGCACCTCCTATCTGTCATGGAGGAAAGCCTTCCCCACAGGCTGTGAGAGGGAAATCTCAACCTTACCTGGAGCAGCCAAGGCCATAGAAGTATCTTGCAGATCCTTCAAAAATACACCCACATCTACAGCTCGGCGTGTAGGAGGTCTGCGGGCCAAACCAGGCCTCTTCACTGATTGTGGGTGGAAAGGTGTGGCAAAGGTCAGGTTGAGGGAGCTGGTGGGAGGAAAGCACAGAGGAAAGTCAGCGACCTGAGGCCCAGCTCCCCTCATCTCCTGATTTCTCCATTTGCCCTGGTGCTCTCATTTCTTAGAACACAACCACCATGTGTGAGGCTAAAACTGGCAGTGAGCAGTATGGCCAGAATCTATTCTAGTCGTTCCCCAAGGCTCTCCTCCAACAACCCCCAGAACAGACAATGGCACCTGGTGAGGGAGGAGGCATCAGCTTTCCCATGAAGCTCTGCAAGAGGACATAAAAAGAAACCATGATAAGTTACCCAGACTCATGATAGCCCTCTCTCAGGCCTCCTCAGCCTCTACAGAGGACAGGAGAAGGTGGTCATAGGCATTGTCCAGGGCCTCACCTTGGGAGAGAGGCAGCCCCTGGTCCATTCCTTGCTGAAACATTGACAATCTCAGCCTCTGCTTCCTCCTGCCAGGAGCCAGCAGATCTGGAGCCAGGGTTGTGGGGGGTTCAAGCTCAGGAAGTTGCAGTTCCAGGCTACAAGGATAGAGCTTAGACAGGCCAGGAAGCCCAAATATGGCTTTTGGGAACCCCCAAGAGGTTCTAAGACTGGAGCTGTCTAACAGTCCAGTCCCAGAGGGGAATTCATTGTGTACCTGCCCCGACTGCTTTCCCAGCTGGAGGGCTGGACCACCTGCGGTGCTGGCACTGGCATCACCTCTGGCTCTGGCATGACCATGGAAGATTCTGGGGCTATAGAAATACAAGGAGAAGGTGCAGCTGGCAGGGCAAGATGCCCTGAACGAGGGATACTATGGGACTGGGGCCTAACTGACCAGCAGGCCAGTACTCACCAGTTAGTAGGATGTTCTCCAGCAGAGTCCGGGGGGTCTGTTCCTTCAGGTGTCCACTGGCTTGAATGTGGGCCAATCTGCCAACAGACTTTGAGGGAAAGCACCAAGCAAACAGTCTGTCTCTTTGCCTTGAGATTCCTTCAAGATGAGCTCCAGAGCAGAGCTAGACTTCAGGGCCCTCACCCTGAAGGCAGCCAGAGCCCTGTAGTGATCAGTGGGCTGGGCACTTACTTACCCTGGCTCTATGGGAAGGCTGCCGAGAAGTTGTCTTTGTTTGGCTCCTCAGCCTCATAGAGAAAGGTGTTTCAAGCAGGGCTCTCCGGGCACTGTATAAAGACAAGTGGTTCTGAGAACTATGTAGGGAGGGGGAACTAGTGGATGCAAAGACATGCCTTCATCAGGGATCTTGGTCTGAAGTCCTTTTCCCTCAGGGGCAAGGCCTCAGAAAACACTTGGCCCTCCCATAGCCCCTGTTTCCAGTTCTATGTCACTAGGGTTGTGAATGAAAGGGAGTCCAAAGGGTACAGGAAGAGAGAGAATATGATGACACAGCCAGAGAGAGGGGCTGAGAAAGGCTTCACAAATGTGACTTGGGCATAAGTAGGGGTTAGCCACAGAGAAAAGCAATTAAAAGAGTATCCATTCCAGCCATTAAAGTAACAATCCAAGAAAGACATTTAAATATTTTAAACCATTTAAGTACTTGTTGGGATCTGATAGCAACCTCCACATGGGTCACTCTAGCCCTAGTCTCTCCAGTCCAATCCCTCTCAGATTCCAGAACCACATAAATGTTCCCAGGGCACAGCTCTCATTTCATCAGCATAGGTCTAAAACATGTAATGAATGTCTTCCCGTTGCTTTTAAAGGAACTGCACTGCCCCAGACTGGCAGATGCCAACTCCCACAGCCTCTGCTCCATGAGCTCACCACAGCCCTCACCTGCTGACACATCCACCCAGTCAAGCCAAATCCCTGTTCCCTAGCAAAGCATCTTTCCAGTTCTTGCCTCTCAACTACTGCCCAGGCTGTGCTCTCCAGCTCCTTTCTCATCTTCCAGCTGGGAGCTACAGGGGCGGTAGGACTGAATGCAGAGAGAGGTGGGACCACCTGGGAGATAGTTCTGGGCAGATGCCTTGACACACTCTGGGCTGATTTTGGGAAAAGTGGCTTAGAGAACAGAGCAGAAGGCAGTATTCTGAGCGCCTATCCTTCATCTCCAGAGGCGGATCCCCGAAAATGAGGGCATAATTTAACTCTGTGGTCCCGAGGCCTGGTGGCCCGGAGTCTAGGGAGCAGCACGAAGAGCTGACTGAAGCCCAGCTAGAGAAATAGGACCACTTCTCAGAGCCCTGGGCTCTGCAACTCTCTGAGACTTAGGTTTCCTTCTCTAAACAGGGTCAGCGCTGGATCCTACAGCGACCCCACCCCAAGTCCCTCCCGTTGCTCAAGTGCTGGGGCGGCGCCCTCACATACCCAGCCCGAGTACTCCGGGGTCGCCGCGGGGTGCGTGGGCACTCTGTATCCAGCACACGCCGCAGCAGCGTGCGCGTCGTTGGCTCGTTGTCGGAGCTGTAGCTGTCTGCCATAGTTTCAGAGGTCCACCTCTCAACTAACTGCTGGGGTAGCCACGGCTGTCGTCTTCCCGCCGCTGCATTTAAGCCAGCTCTCGCGAGGTTGCCGCACAGTCCCACGGGAATTGCCGTTCTAGCCCTACCGCCGAGTGGCGCAGGGCGTGTACAGCGGTGGTTGCAAACTTTGTATTTGGAGACTGTTTTACCTAACAGTAAGCCTAGGCAAATGTATGTATCCAGTCGAAGCTTGGTTTCCTCATCTCTAAGTTGAGGATGATAGCCACCTAATAACGGGTTTGTAATGATTCAGTGAAATAATGTTTAACTCAGGGTCTGACACAGTAAGTCAGGCCATCAACAAATAGTGGTCACTGTTATAGAATGTCTCTCATTTCCCAACATTCATTTCCCATCTCCCTCTCCGAAGGTGAGGAGAGATACTTAAGCCAGGAAAAAAATAATTTTATCTTTGTATTTGCAAAGACCACTAGGTAGGATTGGTATCTATCAGAAGAGATTAGTTTGCATACTCTGAGGCTAGTGTTTGTGACCCAGCAGAAGTGATGATCTCCAAACATGTGCAATTTTGAGATGAATTCCGGCTCTCAAAAGTTTTATTAATGCTGGAGACTTCTATTACCATATTTTTCACTGATTGACAGCCTCCACCGCCTTTCTTAAGTTTTCATGGGAACTGAATTAGAACTTAAGTTTCCCATGTTGTTTTTTTTTTGCTCCAAGATCGGGGGTAAAGTAGCAGATACTCAGACATGGACATATTTGTGTTTGTGTTAAAAAATAAAGCAAATGAAAAAAAGATTCTTGCTTCTCAAAATAAGAGCACTGCAAAGGAATAATATCAATCTTCCTTATCATTTAGAGCTGACTTGGAGTGGGGGAGGAGGGGGAGGTAGAGGGGGAAGGTAGACGGGGTAAAGGCAGTCAAATACAGGGTTTAGGGGGAGGGTGAAGTGGGTAAAGGGGATCAAATATATGGTAGCTGAAGGAAACTGCACTTTGGGTGGTAAACAATAGAATATACAGATGTCAAATGATAATGTACACCTGAAAATTATAATTGTATTAACCAATGTTACCCCAATAAACTTAATTAAAAAAAAATAGAGCTGACCTCTGTTATCCGACTGAATTGGTTAGCTCTTTGCAAACACATTTCCATGGTCCCCTAAGGGCAATATTTACTTATTTCTTATTTATTTATTTGTTTGTTTTAAAGCCTCGAACTGGATAATATGGGAAAAAAACAAAATCTTTCCGAATAAACTTACTTTTGCATGGTATTGTTATATGTATTTACATAATTGATTAAATTTTATATTTATTACTTGTTTAAAACACACTGGGCTCATGAGTGAAGGAAGGAGGAATGAGAGATTGGCAAGGGCCAGACCATGTGGTATCTGGCAGGCTCTGGAAAGAAGTCTGGACATTGTTCTAAATGCAATAGACCACTGCAGGGATTTAAGCAAAGCTATCACATAATCATATTTTCTTTGGCAGCCATGTGAAGAACAAGAATGTAGGAGAGGCAAGATTGGAAGTAGGAAGACATGTGAAAAGTTCTTGCCTTTCTCCAGAGGTGACAAGATAGAGGGTGGGCAGGGCAATGGGGTGGGAAGAAAGCCATGCATTCCAGATATGTTTTGAGTGTGTAAGATTAAATGTAGACTAGAAGTGATTTTATGTACTAGAAGGTAGGGTTTTATTGAGCATAATCTTTGATGTTCTGTGCATAACGATATATCAATTTAACCTCACCAACATTTTTGAGTAAGGTAGGTCTTGAGACAGGAGTAGAACCATATCAGTAACTGCAAGACAATGAAAATAGATAACATATACAATGCTCTTATGCGAATTTTATCTATAATGCACACACTTTAAAACATTTAATCATAACAAAGTGTTTATTCATATTTTTACTATTGTATAAATGATTCACTCAAATGAATGTACATCTTTCGCTACGGGCTACACATATCCGAGAATGCATTTCTGAATCTTATGGTTCAAACTGTAGAATCGGTTGCACAGGGCAGGAGGAATGGGACTTTCTCCTTTTATAGGTCTGTGAAACCCACACAAATAGCCAAGAATCACATTGGTTGTAAACAGAAATGCAATGGTAATGTTTGGGTGTTGGGACCGGAAAGATAGTTGTTTTTTAAGTACGGGTCTTTTATAATAAAGAACAACAAACTAAAAAAATAAAGTTAACTTGGAACATTTTTCTTTCTTTTGCAAGCATTTAAATAGCCCAATCTATTTTTGTTTTTATATCAAATAATTACAAATAATATATACTAGGCTTTAATTTCATATCCGTGGTTCGTCATCAGGAGAAAAAAAAAATGAAGAGTCAGAGAAAAAGTGAAGAGGAATAAGTAGGAGAAAGGAGAAGTCAGCAAAGGAGGACTAGCTTGCAGGTTAATTTTCCTGGACGACTGCCTGGGCTCCCAGGTTTCCCACAGGCTCTCTTGCCTTTTAGAACATTCTCCTCATAGAAGTCGAGGGAGTTGGGAGGTGTCTTGTTACAATACAAATTCTGCTTATCCTCTCGCTTAGCATCCTTCAACAGCTCTCAGTCCCCTGCAGAATAAAATCTCAAATATTTTTATTTGGCCGTTTGGTATCTTTCAGCGTTTCTGCTACACCTGCCGCCCGCTTTAAAGGTGGAGCTCTTTTCTGCCTCAGGGCCTAAAGGGCTAGTTCCCAGGGCAAGAACCAGCTACTCCTCCCCACCCAAGCTTTTCCTCATTTTCTCTTCCTGGGCCTCCACCTCCCATTTTCTTCTCTGTTCAGTTCATTCCTGTTGAGCGTTTCTTCACATCTATGTAAATTCGCGTGTATTCACATCTATTATCCAAAAGTCGGGCCCTCATCCCTCTAAGAAATCGGGCCAGGAAATCGGGCTTTGAGTGAACCATCCCTCAGAGCAAGGTTCCCAACTCCATGCATTGGGCCCGGGGCACAGTACGCCTACTAAGTACGCTTTGGCGGCTGAGTTGGGGGAGAGTCCCCAACACAAGGAAAAGGGGATCCTAACGTCTTTAGAAGTGCTGAAGCCCAGGTATCCCGCCCCATCACCGTAGTAATGCCTACGACTCCGCCACCAAGGTTTGTGGTACCGCTTGGGGCGGGCAAAACAACCTCGCCTAAATCCTGGTCCTCCGTAACCCGACCTCTCCCTTAGGCGGCGCTCCAGGCCTCCACCTCCGGGTTCAGCGCAAGGCATTGCGGGAATTGTAGTTTTCGTGGGCACTTGCTCATGGCGCTTGCGCAGTGGAGGAGCGCCCGCCGCCCGACCCCATCAGCATTTCTGGTCTTTGTAAAGGGCGGTCCCGGCGACAACGTCCTGACCCAATATGCCTTTCTAGTCCACCGAGGATAAGTCGGGTCGGGGAAAGAATCTGCTCTGCATGGGCCGTTGCAGTGCCCTGGAAAGCGGCCAGAATAAGCCCGCCCCGGGTCCGGAAGTGAGCGGCCTCTGGCGCGGTGCATTGTGGGGGGCGTAGTCCTCCTTCCCAGGCGGTCCTTCGCGGCGTCCCCGGGCCGACTCCCGAGCGCAGGCGGGCGGCCTGGCGGGCGGCGCGGCGCGGGCCAGCGGGAAGCGTATTCTGGTCACGGGGCGCCGGGGCAGGCCGGCTGTGCCG